CCCTTCTTTTTGGTACCTACCTAAGCCAGTTCAATTGTCACTTTTGGAATGTGTCTAAACTTTGAGATTTTTAACTAAAGAATTCATGCCAATAGTTTTTTCCCATTTTAGACATTCACGTTCTCATTGAATCCAAACGAAAAAACAAATATTATAATGGAAAGAATGTGTCATCATATACCTGCTAGGAGAAAATGGTGACGCAGAAGGTGATGACAACTGAGAAAATCCTGAAGGATCGGGAGATGTCTGACCACCAGAAAGCATTCTAAGTGTGCCATTGAAATTGGGAGGCTCTCTGCTGCTTTCTCCCTGTGCTTGTAGACTAGTGCATGTATCATTTTGGACAAGATTATTAGAAAGAGTGTGCCTTGGGGTATTGTTGGGCCAATCACTTTGATTTCCAAAATGTGAGTTTGACATAAGAGTTCCATGTGGCTGGTGATGATAGTCATCCCATTGTTCGGCTGAATGAGAATTCTCACTTTTCAGCCCACCTGATTTCTGTTGAAAGGAGAGATTACAAACAGTGTACATTAAACATATGATAGAGAATCTGAAAATGGAGGCCACAGTCCACAAACAAAATATACACACAATCACACACATAAATAAGCATAGAAACAATACTGTGTCAGAGCCATAATTACAAGTGAAAGTAGTCAAAGTATTACTTATTTTACATGATCATAGTCAATAATGACAATCATGTATAATTTCAAAGTTGAATTGGTTTACTTCGTTGTGAAATTAATCACAAAACAGCATTATCTGAAGAGTCAATACAGTTTCGGCATCCTAGATTCTTACTGATGAACACAAACACAATAGAGCATGAAGGTATCTGTCATGGACGTTCAGGCAGGGATACGGGACTGCTGGTCCTTCACAGAGCAGGAAGCCAGGAACTCTAGAGATTTGCATCAAAGCCTTAAAATAATTAAGCAAGGTATAATGTTTTACTGATGAAGTTAAACCCCTACTAGTAACACTCACAAGCAGGGGCGGAGGGAGGGGTGGCCTGGCTGGGCCATGGCCCAGGGTAAATTTTTTTTTTGTTAATTATATATATAGTTTAAAATTTATTTTAGAAGCTGGCCCAGTTCAAATACGAAAATGGCCCAGGGTAGAAAGGGCCAACGCGAAAACAAAAGTCCACCTCTAGCCCGATTTCAGTGCAAGACCAACTAAATCAGGCCCGGTGCACGCCTCAACCCCAGTCCAGGGCCAAAATTAAAGCCCAGGGTTAACCATAGACTATGTTTCTGTTGGCTGCTTAAATACGATTAGAAGACCGGGATTTATAGTTGTACTGAAAGGAGCACACTATTACTTCTTCAGGTGTGGGATAACAAACCAATTTAGAATACTTCAAAAGTAAAGTATTATACTTCCAGTGTGGCACTAGTTATTATCTATGGAAGTATTAATGTGTATGCGTAATATTATACTTTCCCATTCCTTATAAAGTATAGCTTATAAATATACATTTGCTAACTCATTACTGATTATGAGCTTCTATTAACACAAAACTTTAAAATTAAAACTTATATTTAACTTAATAAACTTAAATTGTGGTTTTCCATATATCTAATATATTAAATTTTTTTATTTCTTATTTTTATAAAATCTTACGATTTCGGATTCGATTTTTAAACCTTTGTACCAATTCGATCCAAAAATACGATTTTAACAACCTTGCCTCCAGGCTTTAGTAAAGAAGCGCTCATGCGCAGCAAGCCGGCAGCCAAGCGAGATGCCAACCTTGCCTTCAGCCTTCAGTCATTAAGCAACGCACTCACTCCCGGACGTCGCCGCTTGCCGTCTACTCGCCGTGAGCGTGTGACGTCGTCTGCTCTGCTTCCCCTGCTCGACTGTTGTCTGCCTGTCTTCTACTCTTCCTCTCTTGGACTCCAGTCTCGATACATGTCACACAGCCAATTTGCCAAGGGTTTTTTCTTTTTCTTTTTTGTTTTTACAAGTTTTAGATTAATGTAGTGTTTTGTTTGTTAAATTAATATATTAGGTTGTGTTAGTGAGTTAGTGTAAATGTGTAATAGTGTGTCACCATTGATTTGTGTAATTGTATATTTGTATGCTTTGAATTGTGAAATAGAAATTAGGAATATCAAATGTGATTTGTGAATTTTTTAAAATAATAATATGAAGGCTAAAGGGTCAAATAGGCCCTTGAACTGACTTAAAGTGTTCAATTAGCCCCTTATATAGGAGGTTCTGCCCGGTCGTCGCCAATTGGGGTGGTTCCCGGTGGAATTTTTTGATGAATTTTTTTTAGCATCTTCTTCATTAAGTCTAGTTTACTCATACCAAATTTCAGCTAAAAATTCAACCGGGAAGGCAGTCAAATGATTTTCCGAAATGTACTGCGTTGTTTAACTTCGCAGTTACCTTCAAAAAATCATTTGACTACCTTCCCGGTTGAATTTTTAGCTGAAATTTGGTATGAGTAAACTAGACTTAATGAAGAAGATGCTAAAAAATATTCATCAAAAATTTCCACCGGGAACCGCCCCAATTGGCGACGGACGAGCAGAACCTATTATATAAGGGGCTAATTGAACACTTTAAGTCAGTTCAAGGGCTTATTTGACCCTTTAGCCTAATATGAATTAAAATAAAATAGATTAGTTTTTTATTTTTTTGGTTATTTAAGTAGGTATGGGTACTCAATCTACTGCCAAAAAGGCAAAATCACATTGCGTTCGTTTTATAAGCCTAGTACCAGCACACAAAGTAGACAAGAGTTAAATGTCTCAATTGAAAAGGAATTTGGCAACAAAATCACATTGCGTTCGTAACAAGATGAAAGATGAATTTCTTGCCGATCGTTTGACCATCTTTATTGAAAAGGAACTTGCCAACAAAATCGGCGTCGAGTCTGTCATAGATGAGTTTACTAAGGTCAAAGAGCGTCGTGTTTAGTTAACGTTTTAGTTTCAAACATTGTATGTATTGTTTAAAAATATTACTGTGAATTTTAATGGATTTTGATTGTTATGTTCACACTATCGTCGCTTTTAAAAAATTTATATATTGTTTTTAGTGTAAAGTCGGCCCAGGGTAGACATCCGTCCTGGCTACGCCCCTGCTCACAAGAATCTTAATGGGCAAGTAAATAAAGTTCTAACCTATTAAAATATTGATATTGCAAACATAACTGAAATGGAATGCAAATATGAATGGGAAACTATAGTTAGTCGATTTGTGCTTATGTCTGTTTTTATGTTAACAAATAATGAAGTTGATGAGTTTGTTGATATATATGTAAAGTTGTAGGTTAAATACTTTCGGAACAATTCACTATGTATAGTCTTCCTAGAATGAACGATAGCACCCATTGATAAGACTGAATTGTACACGTTGATCAAGCTCTAAAAATTGATTATTCATAAAGTCATTATTAACTCAATCAAATAAAGTTTTTAAAGAAACACAAGAGCAGTTTTCTTCATTCAGGAGCCTCGTGTTTTTATATATGAGAGTCCTTGTCTGATACAGGAGAGTCTTGTTGTGCCTCCTGTTTTCATGCAGGAGAGTGCTCAGTAAGACCAGTGTTCTCGTATTTGAGTCTTCTACCTTATCTTGACCCTTCTGTTTTACTCTTCTAACTCCTCTCTTCAATAGACTACTGATTCTTATACTTCATTCAAACCTTCTTTTGAGTCTTCTGTGCCTTAGCTTGCTTAAGGCTAAACAAAGCTTTCTGAGTCTTTTGTAACAGCAGACTCCTGAGTGTTTCATCCCGTCTTCTAGATTAAGCCTATTGGCACGGCAGTGCTCTGTTTTTCCTGAGACATCTTTTAGCATCCTGTTTTGAGTCAACTAGACTATTACTAAATCGTTCTATTTCCTATTTCTGTTTTAAAACTGGCTTTTGCCTATTGCCTAAATAAGACTTATCAATCGGAATAACCGAATTACATATTTAGCTTTTAGAATAATTATTCCTACAACGTGTTGGTGGAACCACCGATCACCTTCCTTGCTTGTTCGAGAAGTTGGACTTTTATTTAGAACACCATAGTTTTGAATCCTTCTCTTCATTATCATAGTCTATAAGAGAATGTTTGTTAGAGTTACTACTATATTTTGGAGATTTATTTACACTTAAGTACTTAACCACTTACACATCAACGAATAGAATCATCTGATGAGAAAACTGCTAGTTCAATATCTGAATAAATTCTTGATGATTTTTAAGTATCACTTTTGAACATCATAACCTATAAAAAGAAAGAAAAAACTCAAAAAAGAATCTTACATGACATGTTTATCTTGGAATTGTGGACAGACCCGGTTAAAATCTAGGTATGCTTTACCATATAAATGAGATAAAGGACAACTGTATATATCTGTTACTCCAAGTAGCAAAAGATGGTACTATAGGTGATGTATATATACAGTTATAAGCATAAACTCAGGCAATCTCACGCTCCTTCTCTTCACTAAATAAGAGATTGGAGTGAAAGCTATTTCCAGGCAAAGATAATGAACCATGGTGGAGGGTTTGGGAGCTCTGGAGTGACAGACAACAAAAAGTGCAATTTATGATACTAACGATGAGTGCACATCTCAAATCACTTACATATTTTTCAAGCTCCTGGATCTTTTTTTGAAGCTCAAGTCTAAGTTGATTATTCTCTTCAACCTGTAAACAGAAAATACAAGAATGATTAACTTTTCTAGTTATGACGAATTTTCTTTAATCAGGGGAAAAGAAAAAGAATAATTCACTGAATTGCCATAATAATTTGTCTAGATCCATAAACGGTGATCAGAGACAGAAAAACAGGACATAGAGTGTCTAGTGTTATGCAAATACCTAGTATTCTAAACAAGCATGTTTTATCCACATTACTCAACTATTATTTCCCATACGCTAATGACATGGAAGAAATTCATGCCAGTCCAAAATATGGAGATTGGTATGAGAAAATATGATATCAAAGCATCTATAAGCTTATCACGGATTTTTCCATGGCTAATTCAGATATTTACCAGTTGATTATCATAATAAGGTAAATTGCCTTCGCTTCCATGCATAGTTGTCATGGCGCATAGCGATTGCCATGGCTCAAAGGCATTTTTCATGGCACATGGCGATGGCGCATATACGAATGGCGCATATGGTGCTATGGCGACGACCACTTTTTCATGGCGATGGCACATATGGTGCGCACCATATCTAGACATTGACAAGTTGACAACTATGCTTCCATGAATTTTAAAAAGTAGAAACCTTCTTTGAATCATTATAATCATAATTCATCATTAGCCTTAATATCCATTCTCTTAAGTTTTGAACTCCCATCAAGGCAGAACTCGTTCCCAAAACTTTTGCAAGAAATTGATATCATTATTAGCCCATTTAGTAACACTTATTTTCGGCTTATCAGCCAAATTTTTTATCGGACACGTAACTTTTCATTTGCTAAAGAAGAGCTATGTAAGCTATTTTTCATATACTTTTTCTTTGTTTTATTAAAAATAAAATATAATTTTTTCATCATTTGATACAGACGCTTCAGCCAGAGTTTCACAAAAATTGAGTCAACTTTAGTGTTATGAAACGGACTCCATATGTTTATACATGCAAAAAGAAAGAGAGGGCGAAAACACCTGAAGCTTAATAGTAGTTTCAGCTGCCTCTACAGCTTTTTTGACCTGGAATAGCCCATCGTTATTGTTCCCTCTGATGTTTCCCGGATCCTGCATGCGCAGACCTGCCAATTTACTCTCTAAACTCCCCCCTCCATTTTCCATCCCTTTCCGCTTTCAACCTTCAAATATTCCAATTTAGACACCAATTATTTGAAATCAAACAGTACAACATCATGTCTTCTCCACCCATATATAAACATTTCTAGATATAAATACGGAGTGATATGCGTTTGAAAGAAAGAACAGGAAAACCCTAAGAATGACGGAGTTAAACAGTGTTGTTCTCTAATAGCCATCCCTTCATACGTAGATACTAGCTCTGGCACTTACAGGGAGAGGAAGCGGATTGGGGAAATAGATTTAAGCAGATTCAGGCACAGGGAAGATACTTGCTGCAGAGAGGTTGACAGAAAGGGGTGTGGCGGATTGCGAGAACTTGAGAAATGAAGAATGAAGAATGGCGTTGGAAACAGGGATTGGTTTGGGCGGACGGATCAGATGCGGGTCTCTCTCACACTCTGTCCCTTCTATGTTGTCGCCTTCTTCTTCCTTTGTTTTCTTGTGCCTCCACACCCATCACTGAATTTTTTGAATGTACTGCTACTTTTAAATTACACAACACTCGATCACTAATTTTATTTACCACTCTTGACTTGATTTCTGTCAAATAGAACCGGTACGGCGGTACTTTGTCAATCGTACTTATTGTATCCAACACTTTGTACTCACCTTATACTTATCTCTGTGAAGACTATTTTTTTGTCTGTAAAGCCAGTTCACAGACAAAATATGTCTTTGAATTCCTTCACAGACATATTTTGTCTGTAAAAGAATTCACAGACAAAAGAAATAACTTGACAAACATGGGTGAGTACAAAAGTGGGTATAAAAATGGGTACAAACATCATTTTCCTATTGGAATAGAGTCTCAGGATGCGTTTATTAGAGTATAATTAAAGTTCAATTTGCATTCTCTTACATAACTATATGGTCAATTTTGGGGGTCATCACGGATGGGATGTCATACTTTTTTTAATACTCGATTACATTTCTAAATTTTTACTTTTTTATTAAGTCATATGACTCATGCCTTGATTAAGATATTTGTCTGAATTAAAATATACGGAGTATGTCTCAATTCAGTGATATTTGTATACGAGGTTGCTTATTTTATGTGCCGAATAAATAGTCTGAATTGAATAAAGTAATCAATTTAATATTATTCTGAGGTTATAATGTCAATGAGAAAGTTTATTAATATAAATACATTCCACAGTTGATTTAAAAAGTTGACAAATAGACATCTTACTAGACATTTTGATATAAACGACTACAAAGTATTATTCTCCAACTTAATGATTAATACAAATTTTTGACGGAATGATTATGTCATGCTTCCAATTAAATCAGACTAAGTATGATTTAATGATTGAACGATTAAGTCGCTACTCGTTAAATCTATTTAGTCGAAAGTAGACATTCCCTTGGTCGGTATTTCGTAAGGCTCACAGTGACTGCATGCATGGCCAGTCACGTCGAGGACTACGTGGCAACTATTTTCTTTTTCCTTTTCTTTTGTTTCACCTTTTTGTTTTTTTTTTCTTTCTTCTTGTTCCCTTTCTTCTATGGTTCTCCCCTCTCTGCCTGTAATAACTAATATCTTTCTTACTTTCTTTTTTCTTACATTTCTTCGTTCCTTACCATTTGCTTTCTTTTCCCCTATTTCTCTACTCGTGGTGCCGTGTTTTCCAACGTGGTCATTCGCCATCTTAGTATGGGCGCGGCCCCGCATCACCAAGCGCCACCCACCATCCACAACATCCACTACACAATTCAAACAAGCAATTTCAATTTTTTAACCCTCTATTGCAATAAAAAACTATCAATTTTAAAATTATGGTGGTGATGGGCGGCAAACGGGGGACAGTTCCAAACCGTTTCGACAAAATCGCCAGAGAGGACAGAGTCGACGATGAAATTTGAAGTCGTGCGGTGAAGCTGGCGGACGAACTTACCAGAGAACAAAGAGCGGGCGAGCAGAAAATCGGAGAAGAAAGAAAGAAAGAAATAAAGAAAGAAAGAAAGGGAAAATGGAAAAGGAAAAAATGAAAAATAAAAAGAAAGTAATAGTCATCTGGATGCCACACATGCACTTAATCCGAAAAGCGGCGAGAGTCACCTTCTAAATAGCTCAATTAGAAGTTTTTAAAAAGTATGGGGGGGGGGTAACTGGGTGTATGTTTTCAAATTTTAGAGGTATAATTGTCTTTTTTATGACATAGTATGAAAGCCTATTTGACTATTTTCCTTCAATTTCTTGTCTATCAAGTATTATCTTGATATCCTATTTCATCTACAATTTTCCATTTGTTCACTTTCAATATATGATTTAAAAAAAAAAAATTAATACGGGGCTAATATTTCTTATTCAGGTGTGATCCTTCTAGCTTAATTTTCTATAGCTTCGAGTGCTTTGAGTGGACACAAAATATTAGAAGTGTTAAAATTGAGCAAATTTAAAAACATCGACTAGTTATGAAATTTGCATATAAAACTCATAAATATGAGAAAATACAAGTCGAACTTTCTTTGTATTGTTGTAGACTAATTGGTAAAACAAAAAAAACACAATTTACATTTTTAGCTATTTAAGGCATTTGGAATCTCACAGAGATGAATGATGTAGCACCTTCATCAAGAGTAGATGGTGATACATAAAAGTTGTTGATTGAGATTGGGGGCTATGAGTTCCCTCAAGGTTATTGTCTCGTGTGCCATATGACTAGTGGGTTCTTCGGATTCGCTAGATCTAGATGATGCTTCAGACTCATTACTTAGAATATATTTTTCAATCTCTCGGAAGTTTGTTCTATTTGTGGGTTGGGTCAAAAAGGGGTATCGTTAATAGAACAAGTCTTTACCATATGCTCAAGGATCGAAAAAAAGGTAAGTAAGTTCTCTTTATTTATTTATTTTTCACAAAAAGAAAAATCATTGTCTTTCTCTGGCAATGGTGGCAAATTTGACGTCACTAAAGTCGTTATGTACCTCAAAATAAAAATTTAATACTCGCACTAATAGCGTATTATAGTGAATTAGAGTTCGTATGAGCAACAAAAGGTATTTCAATTATAAGTTTTTGCCATGAGTATTCCTAAAAAATAGAGAATGGACAAAAAGTGACCTTTTGTTTTATTTTCCGACCCTTATTAAACCAACCGACTCCTACAGTGACCAACCCTACAATGACTTCCGCCGGGTGACCAATTGACACGGTGACTCCCGCCCAGTGACCAATGTCCACTCCTTCAGTGACCAACGCTCGCTCGTCTAATGAACAACATCTGTCGATCCAGTGACCAACGTTCACCCGTTAAGTGACCAATCCAGTGACCAATGTTCGTCCGTACAATGACAAACGCCCACCCATCCAATTACAGTTATCTGACCCGTCATAGTTACAAATACGTGATTCGCTAGTTAAAGTTACTCGCCCAATCACTTACAATTACCCGACCCGCTAGTTACAGCTACCCAATTTTGACCAATTATAGTTATCCAATCCAACCTACCAGGTCCGACCATTTAAAGTTAACACCATCATTCCTACCACCACTAGCGACCACCGCCTCCGGCGGCCACCACCTTCGTCTACCACCGGCAACCACCACACCCCAACCTCACCCAAACCCCTCCCCCTAACCAGACCCCTCACCACAGCCCCCACATCGCCCTGCCCCAGCGCCCTGCTTTCTAGACTCTTCTAGTCGGTTGGCCTACCTCCTTGGCCCCAACCGCTGACACCTGACCCAAGCCATAGTCAGATCCTTTTACTAACCGCCTTCCCGACAATTTCCACAACCCACGCGGGCTCCTCCACTGCCGGCCCAAACCATGTTTCCATCCCTGCTCATCCCCTCCACGATTGGTAGCCCTGCACTCCTCATGAACTAACAAATCGCAAATTCGCAACCAATGTCCACCATAAAACTTCGTCATCACGTGTGCTCGAACGGCAGCATCAGCGCAACCACCAAAAATCGCAACCATAGCCGCCACACTCGCCTCAACTCAATCCCTCGCTGCCCACTTCACTCGCCCCATAGCTCAAACCCTAGCCGCACTCGCTCAGATCTGAAACCATAGAGGCTTCGTCGAACGCATCTCCATCGGGAAGAAGCAGTACAAGAAGAAGAGTATGATGGGCAAGACTTGGAGCGATGTACCTGGAAGATTGAATGTGACAACGCACGATGACGATTTAAGTATATTATGTTACCGACGTGAGGGAAAGGGTGGCGACACGATGACAAGTCGACAACGATGGCCATGACAACGAAGGCGGCGACGGCCACGGTCAAGGCAGCGGGGGCAGCAATGACCATGGTGGCGAAGATCTGAGTCTTCAAGCACACTTTGATCCCAGACACGCAGTATGTAAGAAAGATACGTCAGGCTTCAGGGGCAATATGGTCCTTACATTTTAAGTGACTTTTCTGTCCTTACACGATTTAATCCCATTTTTTCTTGCCAGACACTAGAAGTCACGTTTTGGTCACTCTTTTCATTCTTTGTGTAATTGTAACAAAAGAGGGTTATAAGTTTGTATTAACTTGGAGAATATTCATTACACTAAAGTGAACGAATTGTGTGATTATAAATTTATAGATAAGGACATGGTTCTGTTATTTTCCACTTATTGATATGTTAGTTGATCTTGGTTATATCTTTAACTATCGCTTTCGAATACTCAGTTGCAAAGTACCTCGAATTCATCAAATGTAGTCATTAATAAGAAAACATTTCATTATCAACCATTACCATTAGCAAAGTATAGAACGCCACCATATACCAACTTCATAGGCATTCTCTCAACTTTGTGGTGAAATCCGTTGATGTTGATACCTTAATCCATATACCGGTTTCAGTTCAACCAACACAATTAATACTTCTTAAGATTTAAGCATGAGACCATAGACTAATAACCCGAAGTTATTTACTTGTGAAACCATCGTTTTTTTAACTCCAGGGGGGCTGAGGGAGGGGGGTTGGGGCCCTGGAGTAATCAAGGCTGAAACTCGCTCTATTGAGTTTCAAACCCATATGTGCCTAGCGTGTTTCGAACTCGAGACCTCTCACCAGGTACGGTAACCGCACAACCAGTTGGGCTGAAATGTTTGGTTAACCATCAGTGTTTAGCCATTGATTAATTGATCGTTTCTAGTAACCATTAACGTCAAAGTGTAACCTAATCGTCACTTGGCAAGACACCAACATTACTATAGAGATAGAATAAGGAAAGAATTAATGTTCAATAAAAAATTTAAGAAAATAACTCGAAACTTTATCACTCAACAAGCTTCAAGAGCAAACCTAAAAAAGGGAGTTTAGAGCACCTCCAATGCAAAAGTCACAACGGTGTACACGTGGCGGGAGAGATATAAACATACAAAAATAATTAATAGAAACTCGTTCACACTCTCTCCACGGTGTAATAAATATTCAGTTGGTTTTTTTATCACAATTTTAAGCACATGGAAGAATGAGAGTCTGTTTACTAACAAAGATATTTTCCAGTTTTCTATTTCTGTTTTCCGTCCTCAAATTTTCTGTTTTCAT